CGGGAAAATAATTTCTCCGAAATTCTAAGGTCGTGTCACAACAGCAGGTAGAATACCAATTTTTTTTTTTTATTCTCCCTGCGTTTCGTGATAACATGTTCCACGGCCACCTTTTCGTGGATTCACGTTTGATGGACACAGGTTTCGTCGACATTAACGTTTCATCGACATTCGTTAAGCGAATACCGATAATTCTGCTTTCCCTGGGAGTTAAGTTGCGCGAAATCAGGAGTGGCGTAAAACGCAGCTCATGTAAAAATTAATAAAAGTTGGTACATGCTCAATATCCAATTCGTATTTTTCTTATACAGATGGGAAGTCACTTTTCGTAGTTATTTGTAGAAGACAACAATATACCAGGTGTTTTGTTTTTTTATTCTTGGAGATTTGTTTTTAAAGAAGCCGTGAAAGCTGCACTTATGCGGTTTGTGCGAGTGAGTAATACGCCCAGGGGGACATTATGTGGTTTGCTAATCTTTGCGATAAGTAGGCTAATTATATAAATTCACTAATTAACTTTTAATTAGTGAAAATAGACATATGGTTTCAATTAGAAACTTGCTGAGCGTCGTCCAAAACCCCTAAATCAGTAATTTAGGGGTTTTGGACGAAAGAGCACGCGTGAAGCACAGTAGTGCGCTGAGGTTACCACTCGTGGAGCAGGTACAAGACTGGGGCTAGATAAGAGACAGAAAAATTGCGCGGGCGCCTTACCAAAACCGCTAGCCTTGTACCTGTTCTACGAGTGGTAATTTTAGTACACTACTACGCTTCTCACGCGCTGAAAGTCTTTCTGAGAATGACTGATTTAGGGGTTTTGCACGACGCTCAGCAAGTTTCTAATTGGAACTATATGTCTATTTTAACTACTTCAAAAGTTAAGCAGTAAGTTTCAAATAACTAGCCGACTTATCGCAAAGATTAGCCACCTTCATAATGTCACCCTGGGCGTATAACTCACTCGCACAAACTGCACAAGTGTAGCTTTCATGGCTTTTCTTTTAAAACAAATATGCAAGAATAAAAAGCACCCTGTATATAAAGGTTCCCTTATTTGATTGGGACATATGTGGCCTAATATGGGAGGCAAACCCAGATATGGATATATAAACATTTGGGCAGATCTGGCTAGATAAGCCTTCTATAAACTGATCTGCTTGATATGGCCAGATATGCCCAATTTTTTATATAACCATATATTTTTTTTATGAAAGTCCGGATATGCCATTTTTGTAAGGGTCCCCCCACACACACAAACAAAGTCGTGATATTTAAGAGAAAGATCATTAGGGATCTTTTGAAGACACGCGCAGTGTCCGGTCATTCTGCAGACCGTGCGGTGCACACCACAAGGGACCGGCTGTGTCTGGTATGCAAAGAAATTTGGAGCCAAGCAGCGCCGTGTTCAGTATGGATCGAGGGCATGGAATGCAAGGAGTGGGCTTGTGAAGAGTGCGTTGAAACTCACACAGTGCCTTTCAAGTGTATTATTTTACAAAAACAGAACGCAGATTTGGTGTTTTAAGCGTGCTTCATTGTACCCCACTACGTCGTCTCATTTTGCCCCACAGGTTAAAGGGAAAATGAGACATTGTGTAACTCTCAGATATTGTAGTTTTGTTTCATGTTTCGCTTGTTCCAGTTAAGTAATATTTTCTGAGCATGGAGTCAAGACATCTAAGGGTACACTCACGGTGTGTTTTCTGAAATATTGGAGCCAACATAAAGATTACTATTGAAATAAATTTTTTTTTCCTCTTTTTGTCCCACCTTACCCTACTCAGTTTTGCTTCGTCTGACAGCAGCCGACAATATACGATCTGACAGACCGAATTAAGCAGCGCTAAAATTTATCGCCATCTTTGTGGGTCTGCTAATACCATCAATAACCAATCACGCACAAAAAAAAGAAAGCGCAGGCTCATGGGGTATTTACTGTGTATGATTAGCTTAGCCGCTCATAGCAGAGTCACCAAAACAACGACCGCGGTGACGGTGCACTTTTGAAGCTGTTTGATTCGCTACATCGGTCGGCCTTGCAGTGACGTCGGATATGAAATTAAGAGTATAGTTCTTAACGGCAATGTTTCAAAATTTACTCGATCGTGCTCCAGGGTAAACGTTTTGTACCTTGGCGGTCTAAAACCTACCCGCGTCCAGCGTTTTTCAGTTTTTGTTGTCACGTGACACGACCCGTCGGAATAACTTGGATCCATTTCGGTAAAATTTGGAACACAGCTAACAACGCTGAACACGCGTAGCTGAAAAAAAAGGGTCTCCAGTTTCGAAGGCATACAATAAGAGACCGCACATTTATTGTGTACATTTTTATTGTTCTCACTTAAAGTAAAATTCTTGCTCTGACTGGTTGCAATATTTGCAGGAAAATGAGTACACAGCTGCGCTGATACAAAATTAGAAAACAAAATAAAAGATAAAACTGGCATGTCACGCGAAACCGGGACTCGATTTCAGTGATTCATCCCGTATTCTGCTTTCATCTGTTATCCAACCTTCGCAGTTCACCTTCGCGGAACGGAGGTCCTTCCATCATCGTACCTGTGCCGCAACAGGCCTGTCGTGACGAGCTAGCCCAACAAACCTCCGGCGTAGAACGACAATTAAGCTTGGTATTCTCACAAGCGCAGGTGGTTCCAAATAAAGACCACTGGATCCTGAAAAGCTAGTGCCATATTGCCTTGCTTGCCTGCTAGCCAGACACAAACATATACAAACATACAGACTACCAAACCCCTCAAGGTGATTGTCAGATCGGTCTCAGTTGCCATGGCAATCGACATTTCCGTCAATTCAAGTCTTCAAAGCTTTGAAAGAGTCGTTCTAAAAAGTCGCGCCAAGATTCATAATGAGCATCATTGAAAGTGTTCCTCCCCAATACAAGTCTCTCTGACACTCTGCATTCATTCAACTTATTAATCATGCTTATCTACACAGATATTTTAGAACGATATGATTGTTTTCCGTGCTTCAAACAGAAAAAAAAAATTATTCCTGAATGCCGCCACGCAGCGTCGCCGCATGTGTTGGCGGTGCGGTGTGTGGATAACAAAATCGGGTTTCAAGAAATGCTTTTCTACACCAATTTGTCATCGGGAATTCAGACTGACTCAAAAGAATGAAGAGGTCGTGAAGGAACTGCTCATTCCACGAACCAAAATGACGACCATACGTGGAGGTTGACCCTACTTTGCCAGAATTAGCCGACTTTTGTTCCAAAGAAGTAAAATCGAGGATACTGTAAACCCCTAATGTTCGCGAGCCCTTAATTTACACGAATTGAACAATTCGCGAAATTTAAGGACACGCGAATTTTTGGTCCTTAAGAGTTTCAATGCAGGCATCTGGAATTCGTGAAATTTAATTAAAAAAAAATTAAATTTAGAATTCGCGAAAAATATTGTCGCAGAAATGAAGGGTTTTAAAGTTGTATATAAATTTTAGCTAGAAGCAAAGGTTAAAAGGTCCAGATGAAAAATGTACTCATTTATAGCTCTAAAAAGGATAGTCACCTATCACACGTTTGGAGTGTTTGGAATGCATAACACACTGTTTATGAAACGCCCACGAAATAACAACAAAAACTGCACAAGTAGTTCTCTATGAAAGTAAAAAAAAAAAAAAATGGGTTGTGGGGATATTTATACAGCGTGTAGTTGGTCAGCCATTAAAGTTGCGACAAGTCACACGCTGTAGATGAGCAATTTAGCCAGTGCAGTAAAACCACTAGCCTGGGGTCTTTAACGTGCACCACGCAGTAGTGATACACGACCGCACGCCGGTACGATGCTCATCCAGATCGAAACGGGCAGGGGTGGGGATTGAACCCAGGATCCCTGGGTCCTGCAGCGCGAGCTTTCGCTCCACGCGCGTCGAGCTGGGTGTGCGCTTTAGCCCACCTTTTGCGTGTTTATACATTCGTGCGAAGACGATCCACCAAGAAAAGACACTAGCTGCTTTTCATGATTGAAAATAATTTATTTGTTTCTAAAAAACATAAGATATTTAGCGGATAAATGGTTTAAGCGTAAAAAGAACCTTATTTCTTAGCCTAAAAAAAGGCTATTGCACCAAACCTGAATTTTGCCGTCTATTTCAAGAAACAGTTTTCAAAAGATATTTCATACGTCTCTATATCGAATAAATGGGGTTAGTCTTCGCAACATCGAATTCGTCCACCTTTCGTGAAACACCCTGTATATATTAAGGCGGGCTCTCACCCCCCCCCCCCCCCTCCCCCGTCGGGAAATTGAGAACTTTCCGCCTAGGGCGAGCACAATAATATTTTCTATATCCTTTTAATTTGTTCAGTCGAAACGGCGTGAAAGGTTCCTCGTTACCTAGTGCTTTGCAATGTAAACCAACTCCCAATTTGTTTTATTCTTTGGTATCCCTCCATATCGGATGCTGAATTCATCCTTCAGAAGTCAGTCTCCACACTGCAGCCTCTAAGTTTCAGCCTTCACCCACCATATTCTAATTAGCAGACTTCAACCTTCAAAGCTTCAAACTTCAGCCAGTCGTCTATTATACGTCAGTGGGACAGAGCGCCAAACTCGGGAATGAATATAGTAAGGAAGCGCTTTCTAAACAGCTGATGTCACTGTTTCCCGTAGTGACACGTGTAGGGTATATCGCAGGGCTACGTGCGTAAACCTGTTAGCGAAATGGCCGTGCCTCGTGGATTGAGTCTTTTCTGATTTACGCTGACAATGTCCTTTTTTTTTTGTCTCTCTTCATTCCACTTTTTCGAGCGGAATAAGCGTTTACCAGGAAAACAGTTTTATGACTGCTTACTGATACGAGCAGCGACGTGAATGACGGGGGCCGGATATTGTAGTTGATTCTATTACTAAACAAGGATATACACTTTTTGTTTCCTCCACATCAGCACGTGGAGCAGAAATTTCATAATAGGTAAACTATAAAAAAGGCGAAGCACACCATGGTAAAGTCATCATCTGTCCTCTTCCCCAACAGTTGTACCAGAAGCTGAAATAATGGCCGCTAACTTTGTGAGCGCTTCCAAGGCGATTGTCCTGCTGGCGCTTTGCTTCGTCGTGATGTGCAGTGAGTGTTTTCGCCCCGTATTCTGCTCGCTCTTCCTAAGATATTGGTCTGCAGGTTCACTGCAGTGTTGAGTTTTCAAAGTCTACATTTGCGATGCGGATTACCTGATACCTAACTGTATTTTGCTTTTTTTGTGAATTCAGAAAACTCTGACTTTGTTCTGTGGAGTATAGCTATTAACATTTGAGCCGAGTACTATACCGAATAATGTAATGCTGCAAGAGTATAGGGATATAATGGCGACATATGGCCTAGAATCAACTGCAAGCTGCTAAATTCAATGTTTCACGTGCGTTCCTTCTTTTCTTATTATGCTGCACATGTAGTAACGTTCTATGACAATTTATTACATCAAAACTGACATAGTAAAGAAATAGAGGTGCCTTATAATAACTCAGAGGAAGGCCGTTTTTAGGCCTCTTTCTCAAAGAGGAGTTTGATTATTTTTAACTGCGTTGCCTTTGCTTGATCGTCGAGATACGGCTTGGAGTTGCCACGCTAACCAAGCTCGCGTTCCTTGGTTCTAACCTTACCTCCCAGTCGTATTTCGACTTAATTGTATGAGGTATTCAAGCGGAGTCGAACGCCACTGCGCGAAGAGACATACCGTTAAGAGCCTCCAATAAAACGAGAAAACTCTCAAGCTTCTGATATCCGACACCCGGACATGAATTTTGAGTTGTGAAAATCATGGTAACACGTTTCATCAATGGTGTTTGTCCCTTCTTTGAAGACTCCATCGTAGGTTTCAGAAATGTTTAATATTAATATTTGATATACTTGATTTCAGAAACTGTGGCTGCCGGGCCTCAGCATACCTGCGCATACCCTCAAGGTAGGTATAAGGCCTTCGTCTGTTTAGTTAAGCCTTTCATGTTTCATCGGCCTTTACCCGAATGGCTTGTTTGGCGAGTGATGAAGGTATTGTCCAACATTGGCCTTATCAGACTACGCTGTGGCAAAGCGCTGTGCTCTTATGCAAGCCCTCCATCACTGGTACCTGCGAACTAGGGAAAGTAAAGTATTCTACAAGGTTCGGTAAATTAGCGTTGACATTGTCGATTTCGTATGTTGGGTTCAAGCTTCAAACTCTACTCTGCCTGACTATGTTTTAAGTGTAAGGCATGTTTTTAATAACAGAAAATGGAAAAACAAAACAGCTGTTATAGTCCTCCTGGAGAGCCCCGTGCTGTTGAGTTTGTGTTTGCATGATATCTAGCAGCGGTGGAAAGTGTCTCCGCGGTCTTTTTGTACGTAAACCATCCGCACCAAGCGCCTCCAAGGGTCTCGAAGTTGTAGTAATTAACACTCGTCAAGTTAAAACTCATCGTCTTTTTGTGGACCCGACATCAGTGATGCCGTTGTGGGCTTATCTAGATTCAACGTCGCTTAGTACTCTATACTCTGTTCCATACTTAGTGTGCAACTCTGTCAAAGCTACTGGCGCGAGCGCGTGGCTTTGTCTATAGTTTCGTTCGCTCGAGCACGCGTGCAAATAATCAACGAGATCAAGCTCCATGCTCGCGCCAGTAGCTTTGACAGCGTTGTACGCTAAGTTTGAAACAGAGTATAGCAACAGATTAAAAGTCATGAGACAAATAGGGACAGAAAGAAAAGGGTCGTGCACTGTTGCATCTTCTGGTTCCTTCCCTGCCTATTCTTGTTTTGTATGTTTTTTATCCAGTGTGATTTGTATCATTCCTTTATTTCTTCTTTATATTCTGGTTAAAATAATCTTCACTCAATAACTCCTCAAATTTATTAAGTAATATGCACTGAGTAATGTTACTTGCAAAGTGGTGATCGATATTAAATGGTTCAGAAAACTATCGTTCAATAATCTGAGACGAGACAATCAATTTCGTGACAACAATTGTACTCTAAAACGAAATGTTCGCAAAAGAGCTCTTAGGGGTCTTTCAGTTTGTCAAAATTTTGCACCTTAACACGTCATTTTAAGCACACCCTGAAAGGGTTCTTCATGAAAAATCTATAAAGCGTTCTTTTAAGTACTTTTTTATGCGAAAGCGTGCTTCATGACCTAGTTGAATTTCTAGTACGCCAAGGGCGATAGTGCTTGAGGCATAACAGCTTTTCACGAGCTGAAAGTGTTCTTGAAGCGTCTAAAAACCTTTCAAGAACTGACTTTTTTTTAGAGTGCGGTGATAGATTTACTTACGGTGGATGAGCCGCGTGGCGCTTATGAAATATTACTTTACAAATGCTGAGGCTGGCTACTTCGTACAGCATAAGTTCGTTTCAATCCCCTCTCCGTTAACCTCCAGGCTAAGAGGAACACTACACTGACCAAATTGCCCATTCACATACGGAAATCACTTCGGCGTTGGAGAGAACATAAAATATAAATGGATATCTAATGCCAAAATTGGCTGTAATTTTGTTCCATCGATCCGGCAAACGAATATTCGGCGTACGATTAGTACCACCTTTTTTTTTGGCAAATAAAGAAAAAAAAAAGAAGAAAAGAACAACAAAAAACATTGATGTTTATTTTCTTTTTCTTGCCCGCAGCTTGCACCGATCCGGGTCATAGTGACTCCGGCCACCAAGTGACTTCAACCGCCCAATACAACCCGACCACTGGGCAGTGCGAGACCATCCCGTCGGAGACCGGAGCTCACAACTGCCAGAAGTTCGCGACCCTCGAAGACTGCGAGCAGAACTGCGGGAATGCCGGACAGTAAACCGAGGCATGATCCAACAACCCCGAGAACACGCATGGTCGACGACGACCACCCGTTCTGTGATAGTGAAAATAAATCATTTCTGAGAAATTACCGCCTCTTTATATCAAGAGAAGAACCATCTTCAACAGTAAATAAGAGACCATGCATATGGAACAAAAGGCCCAGCATTGGCATAACGGGCATGTCCACTGCTTTTTGGCGGCACATTATTCGGACGCAACCAACCGTGGCCATGCATTCAGAGCAGTAAACCCCTTTTATAACTCCATGAAAGAACATTGGGGGTAAACATATCTTGGGCAAGAGGGGCAGGACTATACTTCGTTTCAGCTTCGGTACGAGCGCGGCCGATGTTATGAGCCGAAGGGCCAATCAAACAGCGAAAGATGCACAACGTCATGGCGTGCTCTCGGCAGTTGATAGGACTAGCCGGTATTCGCCGTCTTTCTGTGCGTGCTCCTCCGCCGGCTAGTCTTATCAAGCGCCGCGAGCACGCCATGACGCTGCACTTTTTGCGGTGTTTGATTCACCCTTCTGCTCATAACATCGGCCGCGCTCGGACCAAAGCTGAAACGAAGTATAGATTAGTGTCCTGTCCTCGCTCCCGTAGATGTTAAAGAGACTATTAGGCGATTTTATGTTTGCTATGTTTAATTTGTGACAGCGTAAAATCGGCAGGAGAGGCCTCGGCCACATCGAGCAAAGCTCAGTTTATACAAAAAAGGGCTGCTGTGACTATTGTTGTCAATTTAACTATTTTCTAGCTGAATTTAGCGGTTTTCTCAGTAGTCTAGCGGGAGAAATGGCGATTCGTCGGGCGGTGGCATTTTTAGTGTTTTTCTAGGTATGTTAGCGTTTTTCCTGGCAGTCTACAATATTCTCGAGTTTGCATTTATCAATCATGAATAGCGTAATTATTGTGGTAAGTTAGGGTCGTCAGGGTCGTCATTTTTTCAAAATTAACTGTTGGGCTAGTTGGCTACACATTGTATAAAAATTCGAAAGCGCAAACACCAAGGAAAAGAAGAGGGGACAGGACAGAACGCTTACACAATCTGCAGAAAGGACACACGGAAAAGGGCCCAGTGTAGAAAAGAAAGATCTTTCTTCTACACTGGGCCCTTTTCCGTGTGTCCTTTCTGCAGATTGTGTAAGCGCTCTGGCCTGTCCCCTCTTCTTTTCCTTGGTATTTGAGCTTTTGAATTTTTATACAGTGTGTCGTCATTTTTGTTTATAGTCAGCAACATTGTCATCAGTGAGAGTAAAAGCTTGCGACGCCATTAAGGTATTACAGTGACAAACCTTGAAACATGCTTTCGACTAATTTGTGCGGGATTTTGAATGTACAAATTCGCTTTCCAGGTCTTCCAGGTAAAACGGGCCAAGTGAACATATATACACGCGAATTGAGAAAACATGGGTGTCCTATAGGACTCTAAACTTTGAAACTGGTTGCTGAATGTTCCAAGCGGCGTTAGCCATGTCAAATACCTCTGCTGGAAAATATTTTTTTTTTCAAAGCATGTAAATTTGGTCACTGAAGCTTTGAACTGCAACCATATATTGCACTAAAAGTCGTAAGGAACCTGCTATCAGTTTGAACCGGCAGGTTTTGTGTGGAAACAAACCTGCTAATAGTTTGAACGAGTATATGATCATTCAGTGGACATTGTTCTGCGCATATGTAAGCGATCTGAGTCAAACAACATATCTCCCTTCTAAGGGTTCTGTACTATACTGGTTTTAAAAAAACTACGGCAGTAAATAGTGTAATAAATTAATTCCTGTCCTCCCCTTGAAAGTTAGGGATTCCCAACGGTCTCCGGAAATTCTTATTGCGGGTGTTTTTTTTTTTTATTTATGAGTTGACGACACTGGTTGTGCCAGTGGCCATCTTGTGGTAAATTATAGTGCTCACAGGTTGGTGCTACATGCCTCCGTTTCACGCTAAGTCAACAGAGCCAAAAATGCATCGTCATGGAGCCCGTCGTCTTCTATCACCGGTTCAACCAATCACGCAAAAGATAAAAGAGCGCCGAGTCACGAGGCCCATCGCTTTTCGTGATTGGCTTAGTGTGGGGACGGCGAACACCCAAACACGATGAGAGCAGTGACAATGAAATATTTGGCACCGTGTGATTGGCCCCGATTACAGTGTTCGAAAAAAAAAAAGCAAAACGCCAATGATCCGACAATTCTTAGATTGAGTAATCTTCGTTATCAATCAAATGTTTGCGTCATACATCCGTTACGCGGTGTCTATTTCTGCGGCGCCACTCAAATTGATGTAGACTTATTTACTAGTTAATGGTTGACAAATATTCTTAGGGAATTCGGTGACCAATAAGGAAAACACTTCGCAACCTTCCAGAAAAAATGAACAACGTTTTTGTGGCCTGCATATTTTTAGTTGCCTCCTCAGTTCCTAATTTAATTAGCTTTTTTGCGAACAGATAGCCCCTTTTCTTTCCCTTTTTTTATAAAAACAAACAAACAACCAGAAGTATAACTGTTTGGCAGCGAATAACTCGGGCATCAGGCCTACCAGAGTTTAGACAGAGGGCTTTTGAAAAATCAGAAACAGCGAAACAGGACGAAAGAAACCAAGCTGTAAGCATCGCGCGCTTCGGTAAAGGACGTGTCGCACGTGAGACTTTCAGACCAAAATCAGCCTCTCCAAAAGCTTATGTATCGTTGTAACACACCAAGGGCCCTACAACGACATCCCTAAAGTGTAACTGCAGAGAAAAAAAAAAACATTTTTTTTTTAAACAGCCTATTTTAGACAAACATGTAAAAAAAAACATTTTTTTTTTATCAGAAAAAAGTTTTTTACAGATAGGCGTGAGACTGATTTTAGGTTGCGGCTATTCTGCCCATTTTTAAGTCGCGCGCCACGAAGTTCGGGTTCCGTGAAGTTTAGCACCGATTGGCTGCTATACTTCTCATTGGCTAAGATATTAATTGACAGCTTAGATCTTGGTTCTTTAAACCCTTGTCATATGTAACCTAGAGCATAGCTCATATTCAATTTCGAAAAAATAAAAATGACAGCATCTCCACGTGGTGAGTGATGTTGATTGGGGCGAAGCTCTGGTGGTGCTGATGATACTGATTTTGTTCATAGGTAGAGCTGATGGTGCTTATTTTTTTTATTGCTCATAGGTAGTGTTGAGTTCCGGGTAACGTTTCGACTTCATTATTACTGCTTTATGAACTCCACCGCTTAACCGCCGAATTCAGAAGCCTCACTCAAACTACACTCAAACTGAAGGGCCCCTCCACTTCCTCGAGAAAGGCGCGAGGATCGGCGCTGGCCAATCGCGACGGCGGATCCGTCCTCGCGATTGGCCAGCGCCGGCCCTCGCGCCTTCCTCGAGGAAGTGGAGGGGCCCTTCAGTTTGAGTGTAGTTTGAGTGAGGTTTCTGAATTCGGCGGTAAGTCAATGATCCATGTCAGAAAGAGAATGTGTGGTATGGAACGTGGTTATATACGCATTTGAGCATTTGACCGCAGCGCCCTCTGGTCTATAAACGTTGAGCCAATGCATGCGAAGTTTAACACGATTATATACGCATTTTACCGCAGCGCCCTCTCCTTTATAGACGCTGAGCGGTTACATGCAACGTTTCATCCATGACAGAAACTCCAGCTCTTGAGTTACTACCAGATCTCAGAGCCACATCTCGTCCCGCAGTCGTGGCCGAGTGGTTAAGGCGATGAACTAGAAATCCATTGGGGTCCCCCTGTACGGGTTCGAATCCTGTCGACTGCGCATCATTTTTTTTTAATTTTTTGCCCTACAGGAGCACATGAGCACGTGAGCTCACGAGCACGAGCACGAGCAGCGGAAAGATCGATGTAAGCACGGGCGCCGGACAAGGCTAGACCCCTAAGGAGCTTTATCCCTAATAATATATATATATACACACATATACACATATACACATTTACACATATACGCATATACGCATATGCACATTTTTGTTAAGAATTGCGCCACACTTGCGCCGAGACAAGCTTTAGAGCATATATTCATACATGCATGCATACATACATACATACATACATACATATATATATATATATATATATATATATATATATATATATATATATATATATATATATATATATATATATATATATTTATATATATATATATATATATATATATATATATATATATATATATATATATATATATACAATTTGTGCGCTTCTTTGGCATAACTGAGATAATCTTTCCTTCTACGCGCAGTGTCTCGGGAAGGCTGATCGCTTTTAATATGAATACAATGAAACTGATGATGATCAAATGGCATCCCCTTCGAATGGGGAACCGAAGATCTTTTTGTACAAAGATAAACAAACAACATAAAAAATGCTATTTGTATTTTTTTCAATAACGCTCGATGTCGTGATGTACAATGAATGCTTGGATTGCGAGTCGGATTTGGTTCCACATTTTGCGGATGCGGTTCGGATACGGATACAAAATATGCGGCTGCCAAATCGGGTACAATAACGTAAGAAGTTCGCGGATGCGGTTGGGGTGCGGGTACAAAAACTGTGGATGCAGGTCGGACGCGGATAATCAAACTGTTATCCGCGCAGGACTCTAGTTATAAGTGGATTGCAGTGCAGATGGCGTCAGTGTGTCCTCCCGTCGTAAGAGATTTTAAGAGGTTCCAACGCACTCGGTCTTAAAAAGTTGCAAGCGTGTGAATGAGCTTTTATGCGCCATACTCAAACAAGAATGGCCAAAAAACATGAAATACGTGCTAAGATAAACGCTGATTATGTTAGTCGACTGAAACTTTCCCCTGCCAAAATGGTGACAGCGGGAAACAAGACTAGGGAAGAGGGCGTATGCATGAGCAGAAGCTTACCTGAAAAAGGTCCATTGCAGAGGGAGCTGCTGGGGTCTCTGAAGAGAGAACCCAACAGGAAGCCAGGGTCCGTTTGCTTGAAGCTAATTAACTTTAACCGTGGTAAAAAGTTTCCACACTAGGTATTTACAAGTACCTAGTCAAGTTTGACCAGGGAAGAATGAGCGATCTCCCTATTTTATTGTGGGTGGTAGCTGG